AAGACTACAAGTGAAGCATCCTCCTCCTGACCGCAGATGATCGCTCAAGCGTGTCTCAGGCTCCCTCCTGCACCGCAGCCATGGTTTTCTGGGTCCTCTCCAAGTGACTCCTGCTTTGGCCATGCCCCAAGGGCAGGAACAGCCTTTCAACCACCCACCCAACCATGGGAAGGGGAAAAAAAGAGGAAAAGAGAGGAGCAAGTGGGGATAATTCCCTGTTGGACCCTGCTTCGTGAGCGGGCAGTGCTCCACACCAGAGCCTGCTGCCAGCATCTCACGCATTAGCTGTGCTCAGTGGCTCAAGACAGGCTTGTGCTGCCCCAGTTATCCCTCCCCGCTTGGCACACGCTCACGTTTGTTTTCAATCACACCAGCCTGTCCATCAAGCAGTTACTCCATGAGGATGGGGCTGTGCACGCACAGAGGTGGGAGCTGGAAGAGCACAGAGAGCAAGGCGGGGACTCAGGTGGTCACGGCTCTGCTCTCTGCCTCAGTTTCCCCTGGGGACTTCTGCAAATGATGCTGAGCTTTTGCATCTGCTTTGAAACAAGACCAGCTGGTTCAGACTCAGTCCTGGCAGTCAATGACTGAGCTGTAAAAGTCCAGAGAGGTGCTGGAGCAGGACCTGCCCATGAGATGTTTGGCTGAGTACTCTCCCAGCCACTACAAGGGCTGGGGCTCTTTACTTAAAGTTTATTTAACTCCTGTGTCCAGCCTCTTCAACCAGCGCAGACCTTTTGAACCCAGGACATCCTTTGGCAGGGACTTGGGCAGCTCAGGTCCTCGTTGCTTGAGGAGCCACCTCCTTTGGACCCAGCTCCTACCAGCCTCCTCCAGGCGCCTCCGGCTTTGCTCTCCTCCAAGAAATCCTTTGCTTTGAGACTGCTTCTTCCAGCTCAGCACTATTATTTATAGCCCCTGGGCTAATCTTTAATGATTACCTTTCCTTCTGCAAAAGCAAGCCCACAAAGGTGACAGCTAGGACTGCCTGGGTAACCTTAACACACCTTTGGCTTCCCTATGTGCTCGTTACAGCCCCAGCCCGAACGAGCCTGCCCAGGAAGATGCCCTGGAGATGACTGATGCCCCCACGGGCAAAGGCCACTTGTTAACACATCGGGCTTGATGCTTGATGCTCAGTGACCTGAGCAGGTTAATGTGGCTTTTGTGTTTCCCAGACACCAAAGATTGAAAGCTGCTGAAAAAGAGACGTTCAGGATTAGCGGGAGACGAGCTGCGGCCCGCCGGCGCCTGAGGATGAGGAGGGATGGGGGGAGCACAGAGGCAGTGGGGATGGGGGGGACACGGAGGACAGCGACGTCTGGAGCCGGTGCAGGAGCCAACTCCTTGCCCCCTTCTCCCAGCCCGGTGTTAGTGGGACTGAAGAGAGACACAGGCACCGCCCGGAGGTGGCTGGGTGCCGGGGGCATCCTAGGGTGTGAGGAGACACAGAGGGGTCCAGGAGGAAGAGGAGGATGACAGGAAGGAGGAGGAGGAAGGGGAGAGGTTACCCTGGGAGCCAGGCTGGCGGCGATGCTCTCCGGGAGGGACCTTGGGATGAAATGGAAAAGGAGAAGTTGGCATCACTGAGGCAGGACCACGCGTTGCCGGACCCCAGGGTGGTGAGGGGTGATGGGGACCAGGGACAGGGCAGGAGGGCAAGAAAAAGCCCGGGGGCTTTTGGCCAGGCTACAGGGCAGGCAAGGGGGACCAGGGGTGTTCCCCTGACTGTCCCCTTCCCGCAGCATCCTCCAAGCCTTGCAGAAAAGGCTCTGGCTCCTCCCGAACCCCAAGCAGAGCTGGGTCTGCCATCCCATCCATCCCAGCGATGGGGGGAGCAGGGACCATGGTCTGTGTCCTCCACCTGAGCTCTGCCACCTTCCTGGGGACATCCCAGCAAAACCCAGCTCAGGGATAGAGCAGGAGGGACACAAAACCAGCCAGTGGTACCTGGGCTGGGAAACCTTCCTCTGGGCTGGGAGCTGCTTTCCCAGCCTGTGTCCTTTCCAGGGCATCCGTCAGGGAGGGCTGCAGGGAGCTCTGACCCACTGGCTGAGCAGCATTTCTCCTGTCCTCCCTCCTTACAACTGCAGTCCAGCCCAGGCAAAATAAAAACCCTCCCACAGCGAGTCAGAGATGATTTCTGAAAATCCAGCCCCTCCACCCCACATAGCAGGAGACAAATAGGTCAGCAACGAGGTAATCTCAGCTCACCACCCGTACTGCTGCCAGCCCTGCATGCTAACGAGGTACTATATATGCACAGAGTGTTTCGTCTGGCACTAAATATTGCCTGTCTTACAGCCTGGGATCCTGAGTCAATAGGATCTCAAGAAGGAGAATCTGGCTTTTGGAGGGCAGGGGACAGACATGTTCACAGCCATCCATCTTGCTGGAATATGCACACATGGGTTAAAATGAATTCCTATTTTCATGCCTCGAAATGGGAAGAGCTCAGAAGGTTGTGATATTGGAGGCAGTCTGGTTATCCGTCTGTCTGGGCTGGCTGATTTGGTCATCCTTGGGGTTATCTACCCATCTGCAGAGCTGTTCATCCATTTGTCCATCCATCCATGTATCCATGTATCCATCCATCCGTCCATCCATGTATCCATGTATCCATGTATCCATCCATCCATCCATCCATCCATCCATCCATCCATCCATCCACCCACCAACCCACCCACAGACCCTTCAGGGCTGCCTGGGGGCTCAGCCCCGGGCCATGCCGGTGGCCGTGGCAGAGGCTTTGCCATGTGTGGGACCCACCTTGTGATCCTCCTGGGCTCCATGAAGCTGGGGGAGTCACGTCTCCTCTTCCTGATGGGGGAGTAGCTCCTGGAGCGGCGCCGGGCGCGGGCGGGATCGGGGTCACCGTGCCGTGTTCGGGGCTCATTGTCCTTCTCTCTACACCATGAGGAGGAGGAGGAGAGTCAGGGTGTGAGCTGGGACCCCTGCACAGCAGCTCCCCACAGGGGTGACACCCCCACCCCCTTCCAGTGCCACCATGGCCAGAAATGACCTGTAACCCCCTCCCCAATCCCGGGGGGATCCTGGACCCCCTGAGCTGAGGATGCTCACTGAGCCCATTGCCGGTACCCACGTCCCCCACACCGAGGTTCCCGTCCCCGGGGACTGACCTGCTGGCGGGTTTTTTCGGCGAGGGCGAGCGGGAGCGGCTGCGTCCTGCCCTCTTCTCCCGGGAGTGGGAGCGGGACTTGGAGAGGGAGCCGCTGGAGCTCCAGTAGCTGCTGCGCTGGCCAGGGCTGGGTGACGGGCTCTTCCTGCGCTCCGAGGCGTGCCGGGAGTGCTTGGCCGACGACTCGGAGCTGCTGTTGGGCCGGCCCCGGTGGTGCCTCTCCTTCACCCTGTGAAGGCAGACCCCAGCACCTCCTCACACCTCGCCCACTGCGCCTGGCAGGGTGTCCCCGCGGGAGCAGGGCACCCCAGGGGGAGCAACAAGCACACCTAAATAACACCAAATTTTGGCTGGGCTGCATCCCTGATTATAGAGCATGGGGTGCTCACCCACTTGGGATCCTGCACCCTGTGGGACGCTGTAATCCCACGCAGCCATCCAGGCACTGCCCTCTGCGCTGGGATAATCCCTTGCGGGGGTGATCCCTCCTGCAGTGCTCTGGCATTGACCCACTGTGGCTCTTCCCTATCCCCATCTCCATCTCGTCCCCATCTCCATCTCAATCTCCATTTCCATCCCCATCTCTGTCCCTGTCCTACCCCCATCTCCATCTCTCGAGCAGCCCCAACCCTGCCCTGGTCCCCAGCTTGGCCCCCAGAGCTTTGCCCAGATGCAACCAGGATGCCCACATGGGGCTGCACCCCAAATATCAGCGACCAGCCCCCATGTCCCAGCAGGGACACCATGACCCCATCCCAGGGACCTCCTTACTTCTTGGCGTGGGCGCCATGGTTCCTGTCAGGGCCGAGAGGCGGGTGGTATGGGTGGGAGCCCGCCGAGCCCTCCGAGTCACTGCTGTAGCCGGCGGGGCTGAGCGGGGCCGGCGGGAGCTCCCGGGGGGCCAGGGGCTGTCCCTTGCTCTGGCCGCGGTGGCGGGGCGGCGGCGAGGCGCTGCGGGAGCGATGCCGGTGGCCATGCTTGGCCCGCTCCGGCGTGGGCGACCGGGGACTGCGGGCACCGTGTCGGCCCCCCCGGGCACGAGGGGACAGCGGCTCCGTCCTGCCGTGAGCCCGTGGAGAGGGGGACGCCGAGGCTGGCCTCTGGCAAGGGCAGGGAGAGAGAGAGAGAAGGGGGGAAAGGTGGAGGAGGGGGAAGAAGAGAAGAAAGAAGGAGAAGGGGGATTTTAATGGGGGGGCGCTGAGCTGGGGGCGCGGTTCACAACGTCAACGCACATCGCATAAGGCAGGCTACACAGACGCTACTCTGCACCTTCCTCTCGCCCTCAACAACGTGGGTCATGCAAACCTTCACATGCAAAACGCCAAAAAATAAAATTAAAATAAAATTTTTAAAAACCCAAAGGAAGGAGTGGGATGGGAGCAATAAAAAAAAAAAAAATTAAATC